GGGTTTGGTGAATTTCATCTTTTGCCCTGGCTGCAAGGCGGTAGTAACGTCCTCACCGTGCGATGGGCCAAGGACACAGGGTCACACCCATGTCTGAGCTTGCAGTCACAGAGCATCACCTCGTCACCTCGTGAGGAGAGGATTCACCCACAACTCGCAATCTGCCGCTTTTCAGGACTTGGATGCAGTTGTGCACCTCTGGGGCAGGCTCTGCAACGTCACTGCTGGCGTAAAGCAGTGGTGGAGTTGCTCTCTCTCTCTCTCTCTCTCGCTCTCTCCCCGTCTTTCTCTCTTTCTACATATGTTCATATAATATAATATGGTATAACACAATTTGGTATAGTATAGTATAGTATAATATAATATAATATAAAATAAAATAATATAATATAATATAGTATAATATAATATAATATAATATAATATAATAGAATATAATATAATAGAATATAATATAATATAATAGAATATAATATAATATAATATAATATAATAGAATAGAATATAATATAATATAATATAATATAATATAAGACAATACAAATATAGTTATAAAAAATACGTAGAAATGTACACAGGTACACAGATACACTTACTTATTTCTGTATGTATACAGAGCTGAACTGCTTGAGTGGCCACAGGAGAGAGTCCTGAACCCAACCATCCGCTGTCAGCTCCTGTCGAGGGACGTAGCAGCACTTCGGTAGCTCTCACTTGTTCCAATGGCAGCTCCAATCTTCGAGTATGTGAATGTAGAGATCGGGGAGCACACCTTCCACACCGGCGATCCATGGCCCCAGGAAGAGAAGAAGGACATCGTGTTCTATGCCTTCCAACAGCAGGTTCCCGGCACGGAGCCTGTGTTCGACTACTGGAATCCCAAGGAAAACGAGCACACTTTCCACATGGGAGATCCCTGGCCAAGTGAGGAGAAGGGAAAGCACCCGGTCTTCTACGCATACCCTCTCGGAGACGACAAGAAAGGACTGCTGCAGCCAGTTCACAGCTTTTGGAACTCAGGCCGGGCAGGGAGAGAGGGGTTTGGCTAGAGTCGGCTACTCGTAGATACCTGACTCTCTGTGCTCTGCTAGGTGAGAAGAAGCACACCTTTCATTTGGGAGATGCTCGAGCACATGAGGATAAGCATGAGCCTCATTTCCTGGCGTTCCGCGAGCCACTCACCTGGAAGTCAGGAGTGATCTGCGATGGTGCACCCGCGGTGAACCGTGCCAAATGGCTAATGGAGAACAAGGGCATGAGTGAGGCAGATGCCCAAGCGTTTGTTATCGGTGAGTTCCCCAATCTGTTCGACAAGTCTGCACCACCTTCCGGGCATTTTGTGGATGGCAAATTCCCTCACACGCTCGAATTGGTGAAGGATGATAAGGGCAAAAGCAGATTGAAGTTCGCCGTTACGCCGTCCAACCACGAGAGCATCACCATGATCGCCGTGCACTACAGCGTCTGCTCTCCGAAGTTCAGAACGAGTTCTTTGGGTTTGGAATGGCCACAGCGTGCAGGGCTTCTCTAAGTTAGGCGTGGGGGCTTTCAAGTTTTGAACCTGGCTGCTTGAGGTCAACGGTGAGCCGGGCAAGGAAGACATGAATTTCGACATCAACAAACCGGAGGAGGGTAGCCACACCTACGTCCACGTCACCCCGGCCTTTGGGCCTGTGTGTGAGCCTGGCTGCAAGGTCACATATTGGTTGGCTGCTATGGACAAGGGTTTGATCACAGAGATGCCAGAGAAGGCCTGCCCCGTCAAGGAGACCACACGGGGAACTGTCTAGAAGTCTAGTCTAGTCCAATCAGCATCCACTGGGCTTTCGACTTTGGTGCCACTTCTAAGGGCAAGATCGTTCGACTGCTAGTGGTGTCCTGCTGCTCAGGAGAATCGACTGACATGGATAGCGCAGTGAGTACGGACCTCTGCACTACCATGGTGCCGAATGCTGGAGCCAGCCAAACTTGGCTGGAATTTACTGCTGCCTTAGGCAGTCTGTTCATTTTGCGTTGAGAGGGCGAAGGACTTGCCTCCCGTCTCATGAGGATACTAGGCAGACGTCTTTACAGTTCGCGGCCGAAACAAACGTCTGAGGGCCGAGCGCAGCTGTGTTTTGCCGGCACCTACCAAACCGGGACCGCCGCGTCGAGACTGCCACATGTTGGCGTCCTGGCCGTGTTGATGCTCTGAACGCTGCTGCAGGCTTCCAGTGGACCTTCGCATCGCAGGCCGCCGGCCAGTCCCTCAGAGTTGTCCAGCGCCCTTCGGCCCTTCCATTTGGTCGGAGATGCAGCGCCGAGGCTCCTCCGGCGCATAAGTAGACAGTGGGCTCGGATTTCTGCTCCAACGGGCTCTGGTGAGCAGCTCTCCGAGTGTGAGCGGCCACGCCACGACCGCCTGTGGTCGGACCCAAGCTCAAGTCGCTGTTTGCCATTGCTACATACGATCTTCAGTGCAGTATGGCATGGATGGCATGGCAGTTGTGCTGAGCACCTGCCTTGTCTTGCATGATTGAATACACAGAATCTGACGTCCTGGCGTCGTTTCGCTTTGCCCTCACGTTGGTGCTTTCGAGACGAGCTTGCATCAACCCTCCTCGTGTTGCGCTGCCTCTGTGACATAAAACTCGACGTGCCGCTGCGATCCTAATTCATGTGACAATTCGTTGCTTGCTAGCTCGAATTGGTTTCTTCATCGAGAGGTCGTCAAGCATTCGAGAAGTTCAGGTGTGTATTGCCACCGTTTTGAAGCCTGTGCAGAGCATCGTCTTGGTTCCCATTTGGTCAAGTGAGTCTACCTCTACCGGTCCAGGTTTCTCCACGGTCAAGTTGCCAGTGGATCGAGACAGCAGCTTGCGCAGACGAGACGCACCAAGAGCATGGTCGGTTCAACAGTGTTTATCTTGTGCAGGTGTCCTTCTTGACCACTTGACCTGTGCCTTCCAAGCCGACATAGGCTGGGAGTATGAACCTTTGCGGCATGTTGATGGGTGGTAAGATTTCCGAAGACGTCTGATCATGTCATCAGGATGTTTGGTCGCTCAGGTGGCATGGGTTGCGTTCGGCCTGGCAGCGCATGGTCTCGGAGAAGGGTATCAGACAGGACGGACCAGACCACGGTACTCAAACTTCCAGGGGGCCTTGACTGTCTGCTACGAGTTGTAACAAGCTTCTATACGAATACGAATCAGCCGCAAAGCTCAAGCAGCGGGTTACTTACCAAATCATGGGCAATGGACGGGCGGGAAGTGCAAGCCGCAGGTACAGTTACATCATGTATATCCTTTTGCGAAAGAAAAGCGCCGGCATGGCATGCTTTGTTGTGCTGTGCCGTGAGGATGCAAGCTGCACCTTCATCACTGGTACTGGGCTTTCCTCGCCTGCCACTATGCAGTGTTCGACTGTCTTCTATCGCGTTTTGCGCAGGACCTGGCTTTGGGGGTTTCACGTCGGACATGAAGCTGAGATCCGTGGGCTTTCCTGGAATGTCAGGGCTTTAAGCCACTCAGGCATCAACATCAGTGGGACGGTTTGTGCGATCCGGGGGAGCGCGAAAGAGCATCGGGGTCGATACACAGCGAGCTGTTGGCACATCGATTGTTCCATGCAGGCGGCCTTCCTTGGAATCTATATCCATGGAGCAGCACCTCGTCTGATCTCAGGGAGGTTCCATGCACACGCACACTTCGGAATCACCCTTGTGGAAGGCAGATCGACACACACACACACACACACACACACACACCACACACACACACACCACACACACACACACACACACCACACACACACACACACCACACACACACACACACACACACCACACACACA